CCCCAAAACCCCAAAACCCCAAAACCCCATTTCGAGTGGAATATATGGAATTACGATTTATAAAAATATAGTTATAAAAATGTCAAGTTGAAAGGTGAGTTTTAACCAGAATTTAAGGAAGGATGGGTTATTGATCTATCATGAAAGTCTTTGTTGAATTGGAACTATTTAATTGAACAAAACTATATATCAATTTGCTTAAAATGCTTCTGTTTCCTTAAATTCTAAAGAATATTATCATTAATAATACCTACGTCATCCTTCACTTTACCTACACTCTTTAACAAATTGATTCACATAACCACCATCTTTCCCCTCTACAAACAATAACGACCTCAAACTCCTTTAAACCTTCTAACAAAGTCAGCATTTACCTCTCAACTTATTTCCAAGCCACTAAAGCCTCTAACTCTTCAGCTCAAACTCTCATAAAGCATTTCTACAAAAATTGTTAAACCCTTTTACTCAACTCTGTGCTGACCCAACAGAGGTATCAGTGACCGAAAGATTTTTCATTATTGTTTAGGCTTTCTTCGTCCACATAATTTCTAATTTCTCTGCTAATTCGTTAATTTGGGATTTTCTATTAATAATGTTTCTTGGTGGTTGACAATTATGATATTGGGTTAAGAAGTTAGCATACTTTTTAGGGGGTGAACAATGGATATTATACTTGGTTAAAGACATAAAGTGTATTATGACTCACTAAATATTAGTGATGACTTTTTATGAAACTGTTCCTCTAGTTTAGCTGCTGGGTGTCAGAAATTCTCTTTTTGAATGGTTTTTAACCTGGTGGGGATTAGCGCTAATTTATTTCTAGTTAATTCTTTATGCTATCTTAGACTGTTTTGGGCTTTTATCTTCTCTTCTTCTTTTTGGATGCTCTTATATGATGAAATTCATCAATTCTTGCTTTCTAGGAAAGAGGTAAAATAAATGAGAATAAAAAGTTTAACCAAGAATTGATTCATTTCTTGATTAATCACTTATGATGTCATTAAAGCCTCTGATTATTCGACAATAGATATTATTACTAAATGAGATGAGTTTAGTATCGATTTAGATGAATTAAGATTAAAATCCAATTATCGTGCATGCAAACTGAAACGTCTAATATAAACTCCATGCTTGAAATGCTCAGAAAATCATTCTATCACAATAAACTAAAAAGTTTAGTATAGCATGGCAAAGAAAGGTTATGCTAAGAATAGGTGAAACATAAAGACACCTAGAGAAGTTAATAAAGTTTTAATATACTCAACCCATTTTTTTTAATCATCTGAACTCTCTCTTGGATTGATATGTCTAATTACTAAACATATTCCTGACTTAGTTTTCCCACTGATCTACAATTAAATCTGCAAAAATGAACTTCTTCTCCTCTCCCAATTTCCACCATCTTCTCCTCAAATCCCAAACTCTTACTCCCCCAGTGCTCATCCCAACCCCTAACCTCCCCAATTTTCCACCAAACCCCTTCACCCCAATATCCCTCCCCACTAATCCTATCCCACCACTCCACCACCAAGTCCAAATCCACCAGCCATTCCCCTAAAATAATCCTCTAGCTTCAAAGTCCTTCGTCAAACCCTAACTTTTAACTTTGAACCTAGATTTGTACGGGTGAGGATGCAGTATTTTAATGAGGTCAGCATGGGGTTTAGAGCTATTCAAGCAGGGGTTGTATTTGTTGAGGTGGCTTACTTTTGAAGTATCTGAATTTGTGGGAAATTAATTATGAGTGATGTAGGAATCTCATTTCGACTCTTTTTTGCATAATATTCAAATGAAGTTATTATAAGCTAAATCATTTTATTTTGTCTTTGATTCTTATCAGTTACTGTCTATCAAAAGTTGGACAGTGTTAAGACATTAGATTCTTTGCTCAATTGGCTTATATTTATATTAAAAAATTCAAAGAAATCCTAGATTATTTTAAGTTTCTTAATCTGTTCTGATAAAATTTCCAAGATAGTAGTACCTTTTAAAATCAATAAAATTTTTGTCTTTATATGGTTCAACAATCTGAATTTTTATAGAAAAGATATATGTTTTCATGACTTCTGCTTTCATTCTGGTTGAATCCCATACTCACTGCCCAATATAATTACAAGTTTGCAGGACTGAGGTAAGCTACAAAACAATTTCTAGTGGGAGTCCGACATCATTTACTGAAGAAGGCTCAGCCCCAGGAGCTCCAATTTTCACCATGGAACCGACTGCTCAACCAACACTCATAGATCAAGGAATATTCTTTCCTTCAAGCAAGTAAGCTTAGAGACAATATTTAGATACCTCAACATTGACCGCGCTTTTCAAGCTCCTGCATCTAAATTTTCATTCCAGTATTGGATCTACATCTTTACATATGATCGATTCGCCCTATTCCAAGGAACTATTAATGTAAGAGTTTGCATAATTTTAGGACAATGGAGTCTTGGAAGGAATCCTGTTTGATACAATAAAGTCTGGAACAAGTAATCTTACTTCTCTAGGTTATGGAAGATGACTATTGCTATAGATCTGAAAGTTTATTCAAGATACCAAAGTAGTGGAAATTATTGCCAACCAATGAAAAGTAAGAGATTTAGATTAAAAATTGATATATAGAAGGATGGAATAGAGTCAGAATAAGCAGTAATAATGGATTTTTGAATTCAAAGCTATACAACTCTTTAAGTGCGGAAAAATCAGCCACGACTTATACCTACCCTTTTAATTATTCTCTGCTTTACAAACTTGGGTCGACAGCATCCACTTCCAATAGCTTTATATTGTACAGTTTTTGATTCACTGATGATGATTCTGTCGTTACATTGTCTACATCATCTCTCTATCCTAACAGTAAGTTTTTTTGTTGCAATTTATTGAGAAGTTATAAATAGAAGTTCAACTTTGTATAGGCTTAAATACTTGTGGAGACGGGACAATTCAGTCAGGGAGTTTTGAGGAATGAGATGATGGTAATTTTGTGGCTGGAGATGGTTGAAATGAAGGCTGCATGTTTGAGTCAGGTTCATGATCTCAAACCCCTACTATATGATTTGAAGAATGTGGAGATGGTAGAAGATTCAATACATTGTCAACTTATTGAGATGATGGCGGAAAGGTCTCAGGAGATGGCTGCTCAAGTACTTGTTCAGTTGAGACTGGTTATGAATGAACTAATGGAGATTCCACAACTCCAGACACTTGATCTTTAATCTGAGGGGATGGAATAAAGGTTTCAACTGAAGACTGAGACGATGGCAACAAAATTTCTGGAGATGGATGAAGCGACGCTTGACAGCAAGAAACAGGATGGTTTTGTACAGGTGGAAACTTATCTGGAAGTGATTCTTGAGCTGAGGAATGAGGAGATGGCATCAAAACTGTATCTGAAACTTGAGATGATCAAAATACTAATTCAGGAGATGGCTGAAGCAATACCTGTCAGCAAGAAGTTGGCTGGACATGAACTGGTGGAAGTCTTTCAAGCAAAGACACTTGTACTGAAGATTGTGGAGACGGAAAGAGATTCAATTCTTTAACAACATATTGAGATGACAATAATACTGATGATGGAGATGGCTGATCTTCTACTTGACAAGTTGAAACTGGATATAGTTGTCAAGGAGGATCTCCTACTCAAAAAGATGACTGTGGACCGAATTGTGGCGATGGATTTATTTATGAAGATGAGCAATGAGATGATTCAAACTCTTACTCTGGAGATGGTTGAAGTGACTCTTGAAATGTTGAAGATAAGTGGGTATGTGAAGGAGGAAGCCAAACTTCTCAAAGCACTTGCAGACTCAAGTGAATAATTGAGAACTGTCAAACATGTGACTCACAAAACAACACGATATGAGTCACTTGTATTGATGGTTATGGGCTTAACAAAGACTTTACTTGACGCTATGTTCAAGTTTCTGAGTCTGCTCAGGCGATGTCATCTGGCTCAGCTGCAATGACTGGAATCGGGTCTTTGGTTGGACTCATAGTTTCACTGATGAACCTTTCTGCTCCAATGGCTCTCTGGGCAATGGCAAACCAAGTACAACTGATGCTGTTACTTCTGCTGACGAAGAGTTCTCTTCCATATGATATTGTTGGATACATTACAACTAATGGGTTTTTCTCATTCAACATGAAGTTTCTACCGATAAAATCTAACATAATATCAGAAGTACCTTTAGAATGGATGAGTAAGACCCAAAGCAGCATTGAACTTGAAGACATGGGACTAGAATCTGGTAGTTCTTTTAACAACAACTTCGGATTGGTTTTTATAGTCTTAATTCTAATCTTCTTACATTTACTATTGACTTGATGCCCAAGAGAAGAAAAATACTTGAATGACGATCTAAGACACAAAGTTGCAAAAATTTTCAAATATGTATGGAGATTTTTCACTTTTGGAATTTATATCAGACTCTTGTTAGAAGCTTACCAATTTATTTATATTTCATCAATTAGTGAACTCAAAAGAATTGATCATTACGACCTCCAAGTTATTAGTTCTGGAATTTTTGCTGTGTTTGTAATAATATGCTGAATTATATTCTTAATATTGGCTTCCATACAAATTTGCAAAGAGGAAAAGATGGATCACCATGACAAATTTGGTGAATTTACTGCAGGTCTTAGAGAAACAAAGCACAGTAAAGTTTACACACCATTTCTGATTCTGAGAAGACTTTTGTTCTGCACATTCCTTGTACTTTTTAGTAAGTCTGGATGCATTACTTTGGTTGGGTTCATGCTATCCATCCAGATTCTTTATGCACTTCACTTATTCTATCTGAGGCCAATGGAAAACAAGCTGAATAACTTGGTAGAGTGAATGAACGAAGCTTTTTACATATTCTTTGTCGCCTTCCTTTTGAAGTATAACTCGAAACAAGCCTGGAAGGGGTTGCCGACAAGTGTATACTTATGGACGATGATGATGAACTCAACAATAGTGGTTTGAACTATCTTAGGTACTTTATCTTTCAAATTTTTAAAGACTGTTAAAATATTTCTCTACAAGAAAATGGTAAAAAATCAGATTTAGGTTAAAATATTAAAAATGTGTTTAATTTTTGATTGAAGCCAAATTCTGTAAAAATAATAGAATAATGATAATTAATAGAGATTCATTACAATAGAAATATAGAGTAAATTCTCATCAATTAAAAGGATTATTACTTATAAATTGCTGGTGAAATTAGAATAAGATCCCTTTAAAAGAAGGTGGCTATCAAATTTTTAAATACAAAAATAAAATGAAATGCAATTTCTTGCAAGATTTAAGTTTAAATCCCAAATTAAAGCAATAATTTCATTCAAATATTAAGAGTTAATTCCAAAATTTCTCAATATTTTATCGTTATGGAAGAATTTATCTACTACCATCAACTTAGCATTTCTTAATAATATCTCCAGAACATTGACTTGAGAACGAATACCTCTAAGCACTAAAAAGAAGACGTTAGTCACTTATAGATACTTAATGTTTAAATATTTAATTTCTTTAATGTAGACAGTTGCCTTATATTCTCTATAAATTGGCAATACTATTAGAACAGCTTTAGAAAATGCTACATATCCATAATACATTTCACAACTTCCTGGCAATCTTGACCTCTTCTATAGTCACCAATATATTTATCTGTTGCAAATAAATGATGCAGAAACAACAAAAAGAAAATAGTAGAAAAGGTTGAGATCTCACAATTTCCGAGGGTAAGCTAAAAATAACAGCTCTAGGCTCAGCAAAGATCCCTTGGAAAATTTGCTGAGAGAAATCTTAATGCCAGTGATATCTCTCTTAGTAAAGTCTCTAGCCAGGTTACTACCAAGCTTGTGAACTTCAAGAACAACGGACAAGGGATATCTTTAAATATGGATGCAGTGAAGAGGATGAAAGATAGGAACAAAGTTGTCCCTATCAATGACTAATTGCAAGCTCCATCCCAATACTAACTTATTTGCCACTGCGCTAATGAATTTGGGTTTTAAACAGTCTCAATATCTGGAGGAATATACTGGATCAGGATATTTTTAGTGGGCTGAAGGGCTTTTAGCTTACCAGTATTGTTTTAAGGGTGTTCGGGCTTACTAGATTTGTTATGGAGGTTGGAGAAGTTTTAAGCATGGGGAATTGAGAGTAAAGGTTAGTTAGATCTTTGGAGTTGGGTAGGATTAGGGGTAATTAAGATATTTGGAGGGTAAGAAAGTAATGGGAGATAGTGTGTAATGGCATCTTGAGGGATATGAACCTTTTGAGGCGGAATTTGATAAAGAGAGTGATAATACTGGGAAGGTTAGAACAGATTGTTGGCAGATAGGTATAGGATGCAGTAAGATGATTTGAATTTGTTAGGTGGTGAGAGTGAAAATGGATTTTAGTTTAAAGCTAAATGTAATCATCACTACAGAATTAATAAATGATTGTAAACATCCTTGTACACAGTTCTATCTATATCCAAAAAGACTCCTTCCAGATACTCTATAAATTCAACGCTCTTACAATGGCAAAATTTCCCAGTACCTATTTCAATTATCTTTTGTACCCCTGGGGTTTTGGGGTTTTGGGGTTTTGGGGTTTTGGGG